GAATATCGGTATTTCAATGATTAGTAATATCTCAATTTAAAATGTAATTAATATATAATATATCCATCTAGCTATGTGTGTTATATACATGTATTAAGAAGTTCTTAAATGTGTTATTATTTATTTATATATTATAATCTTTAATAAACATAAATATTAATGTATTGTAATTTATAATGTTTTTATAGTTAAAAAATAATAATTATATACCAAGGTAATGAAACAATTATCTTTACAAATTAATTCCTAAATAACTTTTTAACTAGTCTGTCCAAATTGTAATTTATCAGAGCCAAATTTAAAAATTATAATCATAGAGAAATTTAACAAAATGGGTATAAACTATAAATATAATATAAATATATAATATTGTAAATGAATTATCAAAACGAAATTTTAAAGATAGTTGTTACGAAGAACTAAGAAGTAACCAAAAAAAGCAATGATTAACATTTTTTTAAACATAACTTCATATAAAATATAGAAAATACAATAAAAACATAAGTATTGAATTCAAAAACTTTAATGTTAAATAGTGCAATTTATCTATAAGAGTTTATATGAAGTTATAGATACTAAAAATAATAGCTAATAAGCACTTGCTAACTGTTATTTAAAAAAATTGTTGTACATTTCATTATATACGTAATAGATGTGGTTTTGTATGATGTAAAAATAATCGCAATTATTTTAAATTGCGAACGTACGTTTTTCATATTTGCTTATTTAGTATAGGTATCACTATAATTAATATCAACTACTAATAAAATGTGTATTCGTTTAAAAAAAACATAGCCTTCTCATTAACGAAATTTCTCTTATCAATTTGTTCATAATTAATAGGTAGGCACCTTTTGAATCAAACGAAGTTTACTTAAATAATTTTTTTAACACCTTTGACTTCTAACACTTTAAATGATTCATTCAATGCTCTAGAAATATATCACTCAATTATACGCACCAATCAAAAGTTCTTATTAGTTATAATATATTAACTTTAAGAAATAATTAATAAGAGGTGTGGTTTGAGCACACATTTTAAAAATTAATTAAACATAGATAGGCAGTTATTGGAAATAATGAAAAAAAATTTTGTTGCATAAAAAAAAACCTATAATATACATTTTACTGAGATGTGTAGGTAATGTGTATATTATAACGTAGTAAATACTAAATTTGGCTTTTAATGATTTCAATGATTCAAATAGTTTATGTTTTTCTAGCTTGGTATACATATTATATTGCAGATAATTATTTTTTATTTTATTTACTCATTAAAAGTCAAAATTAAAATTACTAACGAACTTGTCACTGGAAAAAAAAATTTACGTAAACAGTTTTTAGATAATCATGTTAATCAAATTAAATCTTATTTCAATTTCATAATTATTTTATATTTCTTTTTTGAAGGGAAACCGAAATGATTTAATATAGGTATATTATAATATAAGGATATATTATTAAATGATATGTAAGTGAATGTAAATAATAATATTAATGTCATACTTTTAGCTTCGGTACCTACACTAAATATATATAATCAACACTATCACCCGATTCGTAAACTCAATCGAGTAAGCCGTCTTCTTATTAAATAGGCAAACCATTTTACACACAGGCTTTGGAAACAGGAAAAAGTATGCATCGATCCTTATTTTGAGAAAGTAAATGACTGATATGACAAAATGAAGGATACCCTCCCCACCCACACATCACTTTCTATCATAAATATCCATAATATAAAAAAATAATGTTGGATGAGTAAATGTATTAAATGTATCTTGCTGCTAAATTTTTCGTTGGAGATTGGATTTAAAATCGTTGTACAAATTTGCGTGGAATAAAAGTAGATATTATAACAGTCGTGTATGGCATCGCGTAAAGTGAACGTAATTTCTTGGAGATGACAGTTAGCGAACAATTAAACTGGCGTGAGAACGTAATGTGACAATTAATTAATTAGCCTAGCCGCCTATATAGCTATATATTTTTTTTTTGGCGGCTTGTAATACACCCTTTTTCCTCCGGACGTGACGCATATTGCCGGATATTATACGCTGCTCACTCATCTCGTTGGTCCCATCGCATTATTCTGCCCGCTATCCCACGACTACAATCGACCGTTTTAATAAATATATGCAACGGACCCTCGGAATGACAGATACTGCGGCTGACTTAAAAAATTATCAACACGCGAGTGATCGTGGTAGAGGTGGAGTCGTGATGAGAAGTGATATGGGGACAGAGTTGAGGGAGTAGATAGAATGAACGATAGGTGCAGGCGGCAAAAAGAAGAGATTGCTGTGATAATATTATGATATTATATGTATACGATAGAATGCTTCACTAACTGTGGCTAGTTGTGATCGAGGGGGGCGGGGAGTCGTTGGCCGGCAGTCGTTGGCGGGCAGAGCTTGAACGCATATTATCGGCATTATAGAATAGTTACAATGGCATGTAGTAAAACGGTTAGTAGTTGTTAATCGTGTCCCGGATGGGTTTCAACAGTTAACCGCTGGAACGAATAGGTCCCAACATATTGTACTAGAGGTCAAGTACTACTCGACATATTTATAAAATTACGAGCTGCTATATTATACAATATATAGCATAATATACGTGTTATCGTCATTAAGTTATTAATGTAAAATCCGAAGCACAACTGCATCGAGTGTCTCATGACTGTAAAAAAATCAGTGTAAATTATTTTGAATAAAACCCACTTTCAATAAAACATAAAATGAATAGATTGTACAGTCGTAAACAAAAAAGTCTACTTTTTTAATATAAAATAGTATTTACAATTTTATATTACGTTTAATTATATTATATAATATAGTATATGTCACTTAGGTATACTTATGAAGTATACAGATACTACAGTTTTAATCATACGCAGAGGATAATATTTCTTAAATTTTTTTGTGAAAATGTCTATTCTTGAATCTAAATTTAAGGCATACATAGTTTTTACTATATTTAAGGTACTTTTATATTACTAGATAAGTATATGTTGACACGCAAGAAAAGGGCAATATAGTAGGTAAATAGGTATTTGAGGCGTCCAATTTATAGTATTGTAGTAGTTATTTAACTTATTATTAGTATGCATAATATATGCATCAACAGTATACGATATACGATATACAATTTTATTAATTAATATTTTGGTGTATACAGAAATAGTTCAGTCACAGGAAAGTCAACAATAAAAAAATAACGAAAATCTTCAAGGTATGGTGGAGCAACTGCCCACTCGTTCCCCCCACGAAGACGCCACTGATTGAAACATTTAAATGTGCAAATAGTTATAAATGTTGAACTTAATAGTACCGCAACTTTAATTAATAAATAAATAATCTATTTAATTATGTATTTTATTATCATATACATATGTATGTATATAATTACCTTCGTAATCTATGTCAAATGATTATGTGTAATATTAATATTATATTAATACATACAAATGTACTATAAAATTCATATAAGGTTATAAGAATATTAATTTACCTTCTTCAAATAATAATTATTGTGTACATACATTTAGTCTAATGTTGAAATATGAAAGTTTTTGATTTATATAAGAATTAGCCATTAGGAATAAAACATAAATTAAATTAACATTTTTTTTTTTATCATACCTAGTCACCTAGGTACTTTGAAAACTGGTATTACTAAATACTACTATAATGTATAGTTAAATACGCCGTCTATTTCTATTAAAGTTGTACAAGATAGAAGCTAGTTCTATCGATTTTATAATTTATAATTCTATAGCATATACTTTAGCCAAGTTAAGTGATATAATATAGTACCCACCTATAAACATTATTTTGTACTGGGCATTTAACAACAAAACAAGATGACTACTAACAAATATCGAGGGATATAGAGATAATTACCTTACACAAATCATGTTATTATTATTATTATTTCAGATCTAGATAATCGTGCAATTTAAAATCTCCTTTGTGGCGATTTTGATTTATTAGTTATTACACGTAAATCGTTTAACGTAAATCGTTAAAGGAACGCTATAACAAATATATATTTTTAAACCGGTTTGAGTTATACAACTCTGTAGGTAGTTATGAAATTGGTAGTTCTAAAATATTATGAATAGTATAAGCTATTTGTATAATATCAGAAGCTATATCATTTTTAATTCATTTAAAAAATAACCTTCTACCTATATTTTAATGAAAACGAAAAGTTATCGTGCCTATGTTTTTCTTAAGCAACTATCAAAATAGTTACGACATCTCAGGTTTTTCGTGGGATGCAAATAACGTATATATGACCAGTGTATACTAAGATATAAGATTTACTTGCAAAATCACAACAACTATTTTCACATCGATACAATTGCACTTAAGTAATGGGTATTTTAAAAAAGAATCATTGAGAACAATCACCCACCCTAGCTAATAGTTGCAACTCACAAATCTATATACTGTTAATATAACAAATATTTACCTATATGTACTTAAAACACAAACATTCATTTTTTATACTGTAATATAATGTGTACTTGATTGCTATTCGTAATCTTTAGAATAATATTTAAAATGTTAATAGAAATATGAAGTGCTCATATCATAGTTACATTACGTAAATGCAAAATCAGTGAATATATTACACATATATGTTAAATAAAAATTACATGAACTTATTTACGAAAATCTGTACTATGGGAGACATTCTTAACAAGCAAAAATTAAGTTAAATACGTGGTGAAAATTAAAATTATTGTGCACTTTTATTTATTTACTATGCGAGTACAGGAGCTCAGAAAACAATGAACGTTTTAATTTTACTGTGTGTCAATATTTACCAAATACCAACTATATCTTAAACCTTGCGTCAAAAAATAAAACAATGCATCATAACAAAGAGGTATTGTAATCTATAAGCACCTACACACAGTTTCAGATAAGTATATTCGTGTAAACTTAATCAGTATAGGTAGGTATATAAAAGTAGAGTAGTCTACTTACATTTCTGATACACGATCGTCGAGGTTCATTTCACTACTGCAACATTACAAACAAAAAAGTCTTAAGCATTATTAAATAAAGTTGATTTAATTCCTATAAAATATCGTGGTACAAGTGACAGTGATTGTAATTTGTCATGTTCGATGTACAGTATAGTTATAGTGTGTATATTTTCCCTATCAAATACCCACGTGCTGTATGAGATTTTAGGAACCAAAATTCCGAGTCGTCACTGTTATGTACAATTGAAATCATAATAAGTAACTAGGTATAACATGCGATTTTATAAAGTCAGTAGGTACAAAACTTCTCACAGTTAAAATCTGTGAACGAATTTAAATAATCATAACAATAGTGATAAAAATAACAGCACTCGACTACGAAGTCATCGCGCAGGTACCAATCTATTCATATTACCTATACTGTATCGTAGTAGTTTGGTGAGGAAAAAAAACACGCGGTATAATATTATTATGAATGAATAACGAATACTCGACGAACACGCACTATTTATTGTATGAACACAATATTATAATGAATTCAAAATAAACGTAAAAAAAAAATTAAATGGAAATTGGGCAAAAAATCTTGGCAATTGGAGAGAAAAATTAAGAATAAATAATATGTATACACAGTTAATGTAACGAGAGGTTTACTTACGTTTCGGCGTAATTAATCCGCGGCGAATGAGTGTATAAACAGCGGTGATGTATCGCCACGAAGATTTCAGGACGACGAGGAGGACCTTGGAGACGGCGGCGGTGTTAACAGCAAATAGGTGCGGCACTGTTTCTTATTGTATATATAAATAGTTTTTTATTTTTATGTTTATTTCATCATATGAATACTATACTGTTTGCAAGAAAAATTTTTTTTTAAATATGTATAATATTGTTGTTATTATTATTATTATTATTGTTACACGCGTGTGTGTGAATGGCACAGCGGTACGGTGTATAATAATAGTAATATATTTCAGCGGTGGTGGAGCGAGCTAGATATCCCAACAGAAAATGGAAAAAAAGTTGGGTAGGTATATTAATATAGTACCTACACCTACCTACATATATACATATAAATATATATATACATATAATATGTGCGCGCTCGTGAATATATAATATATATATATGTTATAGATACTATACCTACTTATATTCGCGTATTACAATATTATGATTAATAGACAGAGAGAGGGATATCGAGTCGGAGAGAGAGAGACCGACAGACGGCGAGCATGCGAGTGTGTGAGAGAGAGTGAGAGAGCTAGTGCGAGACTTACGAGACACAAACGCACGCACACAGCGACGCACGCGGACGCAGATATGTGTGTGCCTATAATAATAATTTACCGGAGAGCGTTGAGCGAGCGTTTGACGTGTACATGGGCACCTATATAATATATACAGCGTGTGCGCGCGCGGCGGTGTGCGTGTGTGTGAATCGCGAAACGAACGGGTTTACGTCGAACCATCAGCTGTTGTCAAGGACAACAATATAATAATAATTATCATCATATTATAATCGTCGTGGTACGTGAATATAATATGATATTATGTATATATATATAATATGATGCGTATAATTTATAGCCGCCCGCACCACGCACAAACGCCGTTGTGGCGAGAGGGCGCGCGCGAGAGCTCGTGTACCTATATAATAATAATATTATTATTATTATTATATAGTTTATTATTCCATCCTCCTTCGACGCATTGCCATATGATGGTAATAATAATTATTATTCGGAAAGAGAGAGAGAGACAGGGAGAATGGCAGACAAACAGAGATGGTAAATAAAAAAAACGTCCTACCACTCCCGTCGTTTGCCATGATTTGCGTGGTCCGCGAAATAACTATATTGTACAATATATAATATATATATAGATTGTGTTATTGTATATGGAAATAGCAATAGACCATGTGTATATGAGTGTTATATTGTTATAACTATATTGTGACGAGAGGGGGAGGGGGATACGGGGGATTTGGTGGGGGGGACGCTTGTGTTAATATATAGGTATTTATATATTATTATAATATATTATATCCATTGTGTTTGGCGTTTCCTGACTAGGGCTCGTTCGCTATCCGCCGGCCGTCACGTGCGCGAACGAACGAACCGACAACCGTTTTAATGTTTTATTGTAACATTATTATTAATATAATATTATTACGCTGTCCGGAGCGCGAAATTACTCGCCGCCGACACCATCGAAGCTCGTCCGACGGACGATATAGGTACACACATAGGCTGTCCCCCGTGGTTGTCATTATATTATATTAGTTGGGTAAACAACTGCAAAAATAGATATCAGAGTATCGTTATGGGGGCATATTGCTTCGGTGGCTTACTATAAGAGAGTTTATAGTAGCATAATCACATATCCACATACGAATTATATTAGACGACAGTACACCCATGATAGTGTCTAATTTCAATTACCTATAATATGGGTGTTGATAATTTTCACTCATTTCAATTCCAGTTAATCAAAATCAATTTATTTATTCATCCGAGGCGATGCCGAATGAGCTGGTGATTGAGATGTGTAAATGCGCCATGTACATTTTGCTCCACGTTTCATTTGTAAGCTATTTTTCGTCTTAGACCTAACCTTAGCTAGTGCGGTTGCAGTGCAAAACGGATGGCCAGGTTATTGTAGTGGGCATGCATTGGGTCGTGGCGGTTTTTTTTCACTCCATTCGTGTGCACCTAGCCTAAGGGTATTGAAGACACCCGTGCGTGGTACTAGAGCTTGTGACTAGCGATCACCAGATATCCAGACCGTTGAATTAATCGTAATTCAAACTAAAAGATGATTTTATGCATAAAAATACGTATAATTATTACATTACATATAATTATAATTATAATTACGTGACCACCTACTTCAAACCTATGTTAACCATTTACCATGACGTGTTTGCAGTAATTCATTGGGTATTATCAAATCATCCATTGTTTGTAAAAAATTACTATCAATAATTATACTATACTTAGTATGATCGGCGTCGGTGTGTTGAAAACAAACTTTGGCATCCGGCATCCGGAATACAAGGACAACTAAGTGATAATTATGTAATATGCAATCCAGAATGTGAAATTTCTGACACTAAAATTAAAGACTATACATTGGACGTTGGACAATCTCGGCACAAGATAATAATGCGTACTAGTGTATTAGTGTATTATTATTATTTTGTTTATTTAATCGCAATAGTTATAATATTTCATACATGATTATATGTAAATAATATATTATCAAACATATTTGTCACATTTTCTGTATATAATCGTGGGCAATCAATAAACCTAATATTAGTAATATTATGTGACACAGTCAGGTATCACAATTTAATACGCTGCTAAACAAACTTGGTGCAGTTAAATTTAACAAAATATCTATTAGTAGATATTTGCATATTATTATTGAGTAAATATTAATAAGTATAATATTTATAAATTATAATCAACTATGTATAAAATGCCCATAAATGTCCACTCATTTTCATTAAATTAAAATGCGTTACAATAAAATATTTTATTCTGAAAATTAAATTCGTATGATTTTACAAACTTATCATCAGATATTCAGATAATATAATAATATCATAAATATTAAAGAGTTTCTTTTACTTATCAGCCGTCATCCGCATTCCGAATTTATTGTCCACTCGCCGTTCCGGTTTCTATGGAAATACTTAACAATATATAATTTTTATCTAATTAAAGAGGAATTTTTTTAACTGGGCTTTGAAAATGTCAAATTTTTCATTTACCACTATAAACTATAAGATATTATATACTATTATATGATAAATATAATTGATATTTGATACAGTTTTCAAATTTTGTTTATACAGGTATAGAAGAGATTAAAATATTGAAATCAGAATTCAACGCCTGTGGAATATTACCTTCTATTGTAGTTAAACAAAAAATCAAATTTGGTGAATGTCGATACAAATATTTATAGTCTTTTTAATAGGTAGGTGGCCTTAACATTTACCGATAAGTTTGGCTATCTGAGTGCTCATTTTCTACTATATTCACAGAATAAAAACATGAATTCGATCAACGATGGTTAATTATAGATTCAATCATCTTTCGTTTATACATATTAAGAACAATTTGACGAAAAACATCAATAATCGGGACATAGTTGATGGTTTTTCAAATAAAAACAGATACATTGTACTGAAATAAACATGTTCTGAGTATTTTTATAAGAAAATATTTTGTATTTCAATGAAAGATATAATTAAGAAAATGCAATACCTAAATAAAATAATAATTTAGCAAAGAAGTTATTTAATATTTTTGAGTAGTGTTATTCATTATTATGTTAGGTACTTACATGGATTTTTTAGTTTGAGTAGACATTAAGTAAGTTCTAATTCAAAAAATTTAATGACTTTTGATGATTTAGTTTAGAATAGGTCATTTTAAAAATTACAAAAGTATATTATAGGCAATAAGTATCTATAACTGTTTTTGTACTGTTTTAAGGTTGAATTTCTAAATAGTATTTTAGCAGTTTAGTAGGTAGTAAACTAAACATTTTGTGTGTAAAACTTTTTAAGTTGTCTACTATCTTATTAGATAATTGCGAGCGAAGCATTGTGAGCACAATTTCCTTATAGATGGTATGAGCATAATAAGTTCAGCTTCTCCAGTATTCAGTAATTACACCAAATTTCCGCTAATGGTATAGTGTGACTAATATGGTTGGTTAATGTTTAAGTAAGCATACAAAAAAATACTTCAACATACATCGTCCATCGGCATTTTACTTTTACGGAAATTGTAATGACAAAATTATAAATTGATTACGCCAAACTAGTTAGATGATTAATTGAATTGTCTGGGGAATTTAAAATAAGATTTTTTAAGTTGGATACTTGTAAAGTTTTAACAATTTAAAAATTCACAAAGTATAGGCATAATTGTTTAGTAGACATTTTGAGCTACCTTCAATATCGCACGACTTTTCACAATTTTACATCATAACTTCCTTCAAAGTTTGTGTTTGATGTATTTTTTTTTACAATAAAAATCGTATTTATAAACAACATTTTTTTAAAAAAAATCATATTGTAAAACTAATAGGTACATTTATTTATCAGAATCTAAAGTTAAACTTATGCAAACATGAATGATTTATATTTTATTACGTTTATACCTAGTGGTCTAAGATCTTGGTGCTTCTTATTTATTCTTAGAGCCGTGCTTGATTTTAAGTATTACAAATTACAAAACGTGAATATATTTTGTAAGTTACGCACATCCCAATATCTTTCATCAACGTGTAGGTACATATTTTATGGTAAATGTGGGTAAACTTTTCCTCTTTTCTCTTTCCTCGACTTATCAATGGTGATATTCTAATAGACATTTATGACATATTCGTAAAATAATCATTTTTTTAAAGCAATGGTTAATAGTAAGTGGTTTGTGGTAACTATAAATATCTATGTACAGACATACACTCCTCAGTGGGCAGTGGTTCAGTGGTTCAGTCCGGAGTAGAGCGTTAATTGGTAAAGCAAAGCTACAGAAGTACACTTCTTTATTTGCAGTGATTAACATATTATTGTAACTACGCAGTTTCTTCGCTTGTCGTGTATCACTACTTATAATCTATTTTATGACAATTAAAATATTAGAAACATGGTATGTTCTATGGTTATAATGGGATTATACGCATTAATATAAATTATTTAAAGTTATGTTACTATAACGCCCACTGCAAGATGATATTATTGCCGTAATGCAAGATGTGTTGCAATCAAGGTGCAGGATTATTATTTATATATGTATTTATTTATTTAATATAATCAACACATTATAACTATGTTAATCATGGTAGAAGTGTATAGTTTATTGTATATAGACTTGGATTGTTATCCTTATCATCATACCTATGACAAATGTCTGCATAAAATGTAACGGGATATCACTAGATAAATTTAGAGTAGGTATCTAGTATAGTTACATGTTTATTATTGGCTGCCTTTAAGCAG